TATTTCCCAAAAAGGACACCTATGTAAAGGACATCCACCGTTTTGCCGGGTTCCCCTAGAAAAAAGACGCACCCATATGTGAATACGAGTTGGAGCACCTTTTTGAATCGTTTCAACAGCGAACGTGAATCCACTCGGTCCAAGTGGTTTAACACATTCCCAAAGGTGCTTCAGCTTGGCGGAGTTGCAAAGCTGACCACAGACAGGTCGCCGGGGGCCTGGCGTTTGACCACCGAGATGGGCAGAAAGTGGATGCAGTAGCCGTGGCAAGGCTATACCCGGAATCTTGACATAGCAGCATGCCGCCCTTCTGCCACTGATCTTGTGATCATGCAATTCATCACTGAGCTACATATTACCAACATGAACTACAAAGACATAGGCTTAGAACACCAGGCAAAAAACGAAGACGACCATGTACGAATGAATTGACGGTTCGCACGTGAATTGGCTGTTGCCGTTTCTTGCAATCCCAGCGTTTAGGCCTCAACGACAGGTTGTTCAGCAAGCTTCCAGCGCGTGCCTGCACTTTCACCTTTGAGTCTCGCATTCACTCTGGCTTTGTGGGTGCAATTTCCTCCAGACATGAGCAATTTTGGAACACGCCCAAACCGGCGGCTACGCCTAGATTCACCTCGATGTTGATTTGTTGGCATTGCTCAGATGAGGGTCCGTGAAGCGCTTTTCCTTCAGGATTGCTTGACGTATCTAAAGTTTGCTTACAACACAACGCCCAACAACAAACATCGGTGATGTGTCCGAAAGTATCAAGCTTTCAAAGCATTCAACGTTGATAATTTCTGACATGAGCAATGTTGCCAAGTTGAATGCATAACCCAACTCCCCGCAACCGAAGGCGACGAATTGGAAGGAGGGGCGTCGAGATTCTTCCATGAGCATTTTGTTGGTTGCAGGATCCCGAATTCGCGTTTAGCCCAACTTTTGCCATGGGGTTTCGCACCTCAACACGCGCTAGCTGTCGTCAGTTGTGCTGGCACATGGCGTTTGAGGCATGAACTGGAAGAGAGGCGGCAACAGAAGATCGCTGTGGCAGACTTAGGCATTGATTGTATTAGTGCTAGCAGCGAGATGCTTCAAGAGCTTATCAGGAGAAAGAATCAGCAGTACGCACCTGAGCCGCCTGCAATCCCGCGTCATTAGAAGCCATTGCAGAGCGTCCTGAGTTCAAGCAAGCTTTCATGGAAAGACTACAGAGGATCAAACTTGAGGAGGAGCGAGTGTGCGAGTCTTGGGAATGTAATTCATTGTCACCAACCTGCCCAGGAGCAGTCTGCGAAAGACCGCGAAGCCCGACTGGCCGACGCACGCTATGTCGGCACCCTTACGTGTGGCAAAGGAATCTAGGCCAAGCGCGTTTCATGCGTCAAAATGGCTGTGGGTCAAACATAGGTACCCAAGATAGAACTTTGGTTACTGGAAACAAGGACTAAAGCCCAATGTTGACCTATGCCCTTTTTTCTTTTCCGCAAAGCCTTAAGGCTCGGAAGCAGAGCATGGAGGCCCAACTCCGCGAAAGCCCGGGGCTTTGGACGTTTTGCGTCTCGCGTCTCGCGCGTCTCGCGTATCGCCTAGTCGGCGTCTGGCGCGCCGAGGTGCCGACAAGAAGTCGCAGCTCGCCGAGGTGGCGAAGCGGCGTGAGGCGAGGCAACTTGAGGCTTGAGGGTGGGTGTCTTTTTTGGAGTTGGTGCCCGTTTTAGGTCTGACTTAAAGGAACGCCAAGGGGAGCACCGAAGCCTTTATTTTTGGGGGGTTTCCAATCAATGTGTCAAAACTTGAGTTTGCCCCACGCCGACAAATCGGACGGTTGCAAACGGGGAAACACCACGAGGTTCATTGTTGGGAGGGCTTCTGGGATTGATATTTTCAAAGGGAAGCCACCCAAAAAACACTATGAGATTGGGGTGATGAATAGCGAGGGTCCAAACAGGTTTCAGTTTGGTCTGTTGTTGCTGGTGAAAAGCTCGACTGGAAACACTACGCAGACTGACGAGAGCCTTCTCGAAAAGATGGATAGAACTAACAAGCTCCCCTGAAGAGAGGCAGTATGGTAGGCACCTGCCGAAACAAATGACACATCCATAGCTCGAAAGTGCTCGCTCCCCTTTTAACACATGCACTTTGCAATGTTCTTTTTCTGCAGACCCCCAATCTCCAAACACTAGGCAAATGCTAGACCACTCTAAACCAAACACATTTCACCCCAACCACAGTTGCATTGGGTGGCTCCAACCCAATTCGATCTTCAATTGTAAACTCAGGTTTTTCGAACTTTCTTGGCCTGGATGGGTTTGGCAGAGAGAGGATTGAGAGCGTGCGCCTTGCTTGATGGTTCAAGCCCTAATTGCTGCTTGAGGCAATACCTTTGACATTGCCTGCAGAGTCCGACTTTGCATTTCTTCCAATCTGGCGTTCTTTGTGCAGTGCTCGAGCGCATGCGCCGTTTTGGGTTGACGTGCGACGTAGACATTGCTGGCCTGCGACCAGATGAGCTCGTGACACCCACTGCTGGCTTTTTGACGATGAGGGAGCTGGATGCCGCGTTGAGCTTGCTCGCGGCGCTGCGGCGCTTTGGCGTTCCTTGGCAGTCGGCGCAGAGGGCACGACAAGCGCTTACAGACAGCGCGCTATCTTGCCTTCGCGTTAGTGCTGCTCAGTACTCGCGCTTTGGCATTACCACTCTTGCCGCGTCGAGCGCGTCGCGCTTGACGGGCGCTGTCCTAGACCGCCTGCTGGTCGCCGTGCTTTCCTCGACTTCTTCGTTCGTGGCGCCAAAGCGTCAGTAGTCAGGGTTGTCGAGTTTGAGCTGAAGGAGGGTTTTCGCAAAGCATTGCAGCAGGACATCAATGCTGTTCTGCAGGAGGGTATCTTCTGGGCGCCAAACTTGGCTGATCTGCGCCAGGAACGTGTGGCCGCTGCGGGCGTGCCAGGTGCCGCTGGTCCACCAATGAACCTTCGAAGGGCTCTCTTAGATTTTACAGTCTTCTTCCTTTTGTAGCGCAGCCTTGCCAGCGCAGTTGTGGCATTTACTCCAACGTGTCGCACAAGCCTGATTTTTTCGCTGCCAGCGCCCAGCCCTATGCGAACGTAGCTGCCCGAAATGCGCCGCAGGTTTTGCAGCTCTTTGACAGTTCTTTACGTTCCCCATCTTTTGGCGCACCAGGCACATTGACAACTTGGACAAACCCAACACTCCCTTCTTCAGTTTGCAGGAAGGACATTGGCGTCTCATTGCGAGCGCGGGCCTTGCTTGACGGTTCAAGCCAGGCTTGCTGCGCCCGCCACGCCCTGGCGTTGCCAAAAGTTTTGGCCTGCCTGTGATTTCTTCCGCAAAGCTTGAAACGAAAAGAGCGCGCTTTCTGCAGCAAGTGGCCGAGCTTTAATTGTAAACGCTGCGCGCTGCTTCTTCCAGGCTCAAAAGAACCATAAGAGCAACGCGGGCTAGGGCAAATGACGCCGGCTGAGCTGAGCGTGATTGCAAGGAACTTGAACTCGAGCGGCGGCATTGGGCAGCATTGGGCTTGAAGTTGGGCTTGGCAGGAAGGAGGTCAGGAGCCTGGGGGCTGGGGTCTGCTTGTTGCTGTGGTGAAGAAACTTTTGCAGCGCAGCCCAGCTTGTCAGCTTTGCCAATTTGCCTCAGTTTCCCCGATCTTCCTCAGCTCCGCCTGCTCGCCAGCGTCTACAGGGCAAGCAGAAGTTGTGCCAACTTCGAGAGCCGAGCCGTTGGAGGTCAGGCGTGAGCGTCGTTCACGTGAACCCAACTCACCCGCCAAGCCCTGATGGCCAGCCTCGTGAAGCTGGCCTGGGGTGCTGGCTTGTCTTCCAAGGCAAATTGGGTCAAAGGAGTTCTCATGCCACGCAGGGCACCCTTTGATCACTCAATCCAGCTCACACGCCCCAAGCTAGCCCCAGCCACAATGCTCTGCCAAAGCAAGGTAGAGACCTCTTGGCATCCGTGCCAGGCATCGCTTGCAAACCACTTCCTGCGACTCAGCCCAACGCAATTCACTCACAACCTATGTGTTCCAACCAGTTTCACGCACCTGCGGTCTCAGACTCTTGCCCGCAGACTCACCCCCATTGCTATTCAACCTCGCCAGCTTCCCTCCCGCAGCCCCGAGCACGCTGCCCAGCGCTGGTGAATTGGCGGCTCGGCTCACAGCTCTCCCAGAGCCTCAGCCCCTGTAGCTCAGCCAAGCTTGCCCGGCCACGCGCGAGCTTTTCCCGTTTGTGAGGCGCAGCGGGACTGGGGTTTGGGAGGACCCCTTTGATCTGAATATGGATCTGACCGCTTCTGCGGCCTTGAGGGCTGCGAATTTCAATCGCTCCTTTCAGATTTGTATTGCCAACTCCAACGTATTTTGACGGTTTTCAGGCCGTGCCTGCCCCAATCACAATGAGAAACGGAAACGCCCGGACACCCGACAACAAATCATGGAGCAGGGGTGGGTGCGTATTATTGTTGGGGGAAAGGATTTCTTGAAAGAGTGGTCTCTTGTGATGTTGTGCATTGCCCAGCGGACCAGGAACGGTTGGCTCAGCGAGAGCTGGAGCGCAAAGAAAGGGTCATGCACTCAGTGAGTTTGGGTTTCGGTAGACGGATGCAGGTCTCAAAATCCGAGGATTTGGAGCGGATTCGCGTGATTCGCGCTTGAAGTAGGACTGGTCGAATCAGTTCTCTTTTTGACGGGTTGGGCTTTTCTTCCGAAGCTGGGGGGTGGGTCCCAACCAATCAAACAGTACAGGCCCCCTTTGAATTGCTCTTTGCGTTATTTGGGCTGCAAATCCTAACCCGTGACATGAACGGCTGTCAAAGAACAGGCCACTTTCACGTTTCACCGCTGGGCTCAAACAAGGAGCTTTCAACAATCTTTGGCAACCACGCCCGTCCATATGAATATCTCATTGCCAAAGCTGCTTGAGGAAAATGCAGTGCATGGCAAGAGACCACGCGTGTCGAATATGAAGCAATTGAAGCGCAGGTTGCAAGAAATCATCGACGCCATCAAGAACGGTTCAGGAATTGACCAGATCATGATCGAGACTACGGTGGAATTGTCTAGTTTATGCACTGAGCCATTGCAGCGTCTTCTTGCGCGGTTGCCAGGGCATGGCCGACCCTGTTCCCATTGTTCGAACCTTCATGTCCAGCCCGCAAGTCACGCATCTCCGGCGTGTTGAGAGTCAGATGCAGCTTGCCTGTGAATAGAGTCAAGAAGAGAGGCTTTGTGTGGCAGGGCAGATCTGCGATTGGATGCTGTGTGGATCTCAAGAATTTGTGGCAGGCTCGCACCGCATCGAATGAAATGGAAAGCGCACAGGTGGTCACGGTGGCGGACTCCAAGAACCTGCCGGGCCGTTTGGATGACACAGTCGAAGAGGGAAAGGCCAGAACTCCCGGAAATTTCTTTTTCAAGCCTTCTCGCCGGTTTGCACCCATTGCCAACAGCAGCACTTTGTATCGACTTGGCGAGCTTCGAATAGCACGCGCGAGGTGAATGAAGCCTTCCAGCAGGTCGCCTTTGCAGACAAGGCATGGACTTGACAAAAAGCGATGGCCCAAAGCGATGACTCAGATCATCCTCAACAAGCTCGACTTGGTAACACCAGAGCAAGCCATCGCTGTCAAGGCCTGGGAAGTGTTCACTCTCCAAGAAACGCGGACACCGATCAGGATAGGATCAGACACATCAACAAGTATGCCAAGATCCTGCCGGCGGTGAAAGGAAAGGTCAAGGTGCCACTCGTTGACAAGAAAAAGCATCGTTACTCATGGCCGCAGCCAGGTTGCCGAGCTGTGCAACATTCGTGCGCACGCCTCTCTTCTGCATTTCAAGCGGGCCTCTTGAATCCTGCACCGTGCTGGTTTGCATTGCCCCATTCGACCTCAAGCAACAGCAACTGACAATCTGGTTGCTTGTGTGCATGTCAAGAATGATCCCACGATTTTGTGACCATCACAAATCACTAAATAGGGTGGCCAATTTTCATCCTCAGTAGCAGGGAGAACATTTTAGCACGATGTGTGCAAGATGAGCTCAAGATGCGTGCAAGAGGCGCAAATGGCTCGCTTGTGGGTCCGCAGGAAGGTTTAAGATTTTGTGGGCTTGCCTTTGGTTGTTGCTGCAAGGCACACTAGAATCTGTGTAGCTGAAAGGAACCCTTGGAGTGTGCACAGCTTGTGCTTCGGATAATTATTTGTCTGCACGCTTGTCCCCGCACATTAAATTTGCTGTTGGAGACCCACCGTCTGTTTCAAGATTGTCAACACTCCGTGGTAGTCCAGTGAGTGCAGAGACACTTCCACAGACATGCTCAGCAGGGCACGGCACACTGCAGCACGTTGCAAGCCAAGATGGTGCATTAGGACATCTGCAACTTCGTCAATGAGGACATTGAGAAGGACGCCGAGGCGGATAGTTGCAGAGTCAAATAGTCCTGAATGCAGATTTAAAAGAGTGTTCATGTTTACCGTGCCCCTGCAAGTGGAATTGATTGGGGACTCAAAAACAATACCCCTGCACAATGGGGGAAAACCTGGAGCACGAAAGGGACTCACTTGAATAGCACAAGTATCATCTTGAAGATGATTTCAACAGTCGCCTAGTTAGGACAAACTGACAAGCAGAAGACCCGGCACATAACATCCGGACTGTAGCACAAGCGCCGAAAAAAGATGCCTGGCAGCTCGTTTGGGTTTGCGCGCGCTCCGGTTTCGTTGCTGTCTTGGGAGGTGCCGGCGGAGCTCGGGCACGGCCCGCACCTCAGCTCCGGGTTTCCGTTGGCGACTCTGACGCCTTCGCAGGTGGACACGGTGGCCACGAGGCGCTTGCGAGCGTTTGAGTAGAGTGCCACTTGTTGCTTGTTTCACTTCAAATAAGTAGGTGGCAGCTTGTTCCTGGTTTTTTGTTTCAAGTGGGATGGAATCAAACCACCCCCAGCAGACTAGCTCTTTGTGTATGTAGTTTTCATCCAGGGCCACGGTGGCCATGGCGGCCATGGCGGCCACGGCGATGGCCATGACCCCAACTGCACGGAGGAGCAGCCGTACCTCCGCTTGGGAAGAGACGATGGACAAAATCCTGCATCAGTTGGTAGGTGGCTTTTCCCCATATTGATAGGGTCTCGTCCATTTTCACTGGTGCAGGATTTTGTCCATCCACAGTATGAGAAAAGAAGAGGGTCCTGGAAGAAGGGTAGAGAGTCCCAGCTTTGTGTCTTGACAGGAGCATGGGCACGGGGGCCACGGGGCCCATGGCGGAGAAGCTCATGGCGGCGGATACGGACACGGAGAAGCCCACGGCGGAGGGCATGCGGCCGGCCACGGCCCGCCTGCCATGTGGCTGTGTCTTTCTTCCCCTGACAGGTTTGGGGTTGTTAGCATAGGTCCTTTTTGGTTTACTTGAAAAATAGAGGGCCCTGGTTCACCTGGTAATTTGTTCAATCATCTACCAGGGCCATCTATTTGTTCAAGGACGCGTATGGTGGTTAGATTTTAAGTGACATCCGACCGCCACAACCAGCCCCGGCGACAGAGGCTGCGACAGACAGCTGCGACAGAGACAGCTGTGACAGAGCTTGTGACAGCAGTCCGAAGCCTGACGCCCTTGCCAGTGGCCGGGACAGCCGCAACACGGGAACCGCGATTTCGTTAACAGCTGAGGTTGATAGGTCAGCGCTGCCTTGGCTCCATGTTGGTTTCCATCAGATCGCTTGAGGCCTCGCAGTTTGACAAGAATGCGCCAGTGTGGCTGCAGTCTTGTTCAGCCAAGCAAATTTCTTAGTCGGGGATTGTTCGGATTAATGTAACCTAGACGGTGGTTTCCCATGTTGTTTTCCCAAGGAGAGGCCCGCAAAAAGGGTACCCTCAAAAAAAGACACCTATTTTGGTTGCCCGGATACCTTCAAAAAGAGAGGCAGTGCTCTGTAACCTGGCTACCAACATGGTCAATACGTCTGCCGCAAATTGGGGCACTTCGACTACAGCCCTGAGAAGGGTATTTCAACAAGAATCGCCTTTGACATGAGGCAAAGAGTTTTACTCCCTGGTTTAGTAGAGACGACGGTGAAGAAAAACGTGAGTTTTGGCTTGATCCTTCAGGTCTCCAGTCAATGGAACGCAGGCTTCCCTTGCCTTGCGCCAGGCCACGGTCCCAGCAGACACGACGGGCGTGTCAACTCTTTCTCTGTAGTGCGGGAGGTGGAGAAGCGGAATTGCATGGCATTGATCAAGGGCTGAATGTATACGCCCATATATGAACCCCTGGTATGAACCCGTAGTTTACGAGTTAGGCAACAGTGCAGCCTTGTCAGTATCAGATTAGCCGTGAGTTATGGCTTCATTATGGGAAATCAACCCAAAGGGGTCCAAACTGACCATGGGTTCATATATGGACCCAAACAATCAGCCTTTGAGTTGAGCGGAAGCTTGTGAGATATGCCGCTGACAACATTGCATGCTGGCTCCAGAGAAATTAGCCAAAGGGCTAACGCCGCTCAATCGTACCAGCACATTACAAGGGTCAAAGTGGAGGCTCTTCAGGTTCTTTCATTGGGTGGCATGTCACTATCAAGGCGGCGCATCACTTGAGCCACAATCCAAACCCGGGTAGATGAAGGTTAGTAAGGGCCAATCCCAACCATAAATAGCTGCGGCCGCCTTCTTAATTCTTTACATGGTTCTGGGTAGACCATCTTAGTACCGGGTTATGAGTATGACTGACTTGTTTCGGCTGAAGCTCCATGAGATCAACCATTCATCTCTCGGGATGATGCTGTGCAGATGGCGGCTACTCGGGCAGCGCAGCTTAAAACTGCGAGGCGAGGCGCCCAAGCCAGTGTTTGAGGGGCACCTGCTGTTCCTTTGGTCACAGATTGTTCCCATCAATCATACCCTCGCCAATCCCCCCCAGGAAAATGGTCTTCCAGAACCCCTGTGTCAGGCTCCATGTTAATTGGTGGGAGGGTACATAGCATGGCCACCGTGCAACTCGAAGCATGGCAGAACAAGCAGAACGCCGGGCGTCGTATGCCGAGGCTTTGGGTGCGCAGGCTTGCGGTGGCAGGCAAGACACCTCCACGCGTGTGGCTCAGCTTTGCGCGTCTCTTTATGCTCGAAACGGATCTTGGCTCAGGCGGCTCATTGGCCCAGGTCGGGCTCTGTTTGACTCGGCCGTCTCGGGAGCTCTGGCCCCAGGCGACGCGAACTGGGAGTCCCGACGGGCTGGCTGCTTGGTGGAGGCGGGCGACGCTGGGTGGCCCGGACTTCCCGACGGATGCAGCTTCAGTCCGCAGGCGGCGACAAGAGCAGGGAGGCCTCTCCGACCAGGGGGCGGTGAAACTCAGCCAGGCCTCAATGCCAATGCCCTTTGAGAAGATTGGGGTGCCCTCACCCGAGTGGTTTGTAGTTGAAGCAACATGAAGCAACCCATTTCGGAGAGTCCGTACCTTTGACCCAGTGCACCCGCCATTTGGCCGGGCTAGATCTCCTGAATCCTGCCCCATGCATCCTCCTTTGCTGAACGTTTGCAGGAAATAACGGAGTACGCCACCCAGCAGCAGCCAAGCTCGGAGCACGTGGCTCAAAAAGATGACTTCCTCTACAGGCGCAACTGCAGCCTTGCAGATTCTGAAGGAATTCCGTGTTGCGTGTGCCATGATCAAATCTTTTTTCGCGGGTCATTACTCTTTGAGCACTCACCAGAGTTGACATCTTGCGCAAACACCCGGCACCTTGCAAAGCTTGCACATGATTGGAGGCTGCAGCAGCACTTAGCGGAGATCATCGCGCGTGTCTTAGTCACAAGGTGTCCACCGCGAAGATCCTTCCGTTTTCAAGGTTTCAATTGTTGCTGGTGGCGCTCCCATTCAAAGCGCTTGACACCGCTCGGAAAAAGCAGGGTGATTCCTCCTTAGCTCTGTTGCCCTCTTGCCCTTCCCCTTCTCAGGGTTTCAGTCTTTGCTAGCACCTCTAATTGAACCTCCGAAGTCATGTCATGCCATGTGCATCTATGGGAAGGTCGATCAGCTCTGTGCCCTGCCTGTGCAAAACAAAGTGCCTTCCCCCCTGTTGCCAATCTACAAAAGTCGACTCGTGTTTAGATACCAGCATCAGAGGACGATTCCAGTGCCTCAAACATGTGGCCATCTAGGAGCAACACCAACAAGGGAACGCTTGGTGTCCTCATCATCCTGCAGTCAACCTGCTCACCTCCTAACTTGCACCACCGGCACCTCCGGAGTGTCGCCTGCATCGCAGTACCTGCAGTACCTGCATCTCCACAAGAATACCAGCCAAATTGCTAGGTGCCATTGGTCTAAACGCCTGGAAGGGATCGTAATGGGAAAACGATGCACCTCAAATGAACGGGCTTTCAAAAGCGACATGTTCTTTTGTTCAAGCCTTCAGAATGACGAGCATGTCGACCTGCCCCTTTCGCCAAAGTGCTATCAGTGTGTTCAGGATGGAGCAGATGTGGCCCCATTTGGGTCTGTGGTCAATGGCCCGTGCCCCGTTTCGCTGTTTGTGAAGCGAAGGGCTTCGACTGGCCCAGGTTTCTGGACCCCGGCCAGTGACGTGGATGTTTGCGAGCCATGGATGCATATGTTCATGGCGGGTGTCTCTGTGTTTTTGTTGAAGCCTCACCAATGGCTTGTCTGGTCATTGTTTTCCTTGGACAACCAGCCGAGGGTGGTTTCCCTATATTAACGCACGTGTTTTTCCGTGTGCTGATTGGTTTCGTTGCGTTGGATGTGATTGAGGTGAAGGTGCCAGGAGCCACCACCCGCAATGCTCAAATCCAGGCACATCTATTCTCATCATGTTTTGTAATATGCTTGCATTCCACAATTCCGGAACAGCCATGCCGAGTGTGCAGGTACTGCGGCAAATCTCAGCAGAACTCGCTAAGGTAATGCTCTTAGCTGTTTGGATTGAAAGTGATGCAGGGGAATTTGTACTTTGGCTACACGTGCGTTTGTACCTTGTGGCCTTCTGGCCTGGAGCCCAAGGCCAAGTCGCATCACGTGGAGGCTCGCTTTGGCGCGCAGGCCGCGGAAATGGATGCACAACGGGCACGTGAAACGGCGTGGGCCAATGGCAGGTGCCGATTCTGCACTGGGCTCCCTTGAGGTGCGGGCCGATCAGACTTCTTGGCACGTCGCTTCGGTCCGAATCCGAGGCCGGGCATGGTGTCTTGCGACATCAGCGTCAACAACGTCCTTGCGGTGGCGAACTCAAGGCAAGGGATGCCGCGTGCAATCAGAGGTTAGTTTGATTTCTCGGGAGGGCAGTGAACCCTGGCGCACAGTTGTCTGTCTTGTTGTGCGTGGCATGGTGCTCGGTTGGGGCATGGGCTGTTGTAGTCTTCGCGGAAGAGGCTACACATGAGGGCCATCTTTTCTTTGGGGGCGCTGGAGGAAGGTGCTGTAGTCTTTGACATTTCTGGGAGCGTTAGCGCGAGTGGCATCATTCCGGCAAGGCCGAGCTGCGGTTTCGTGGTTTTTGCTGTTTCAAACTGCTCTTCCTGGCATCGTGGCGATGTGGCAGTACAGTTAATTACAGTTCTTACAGCCTTGCTGGGTACAGAACACTTGTTTCAAGGCAAAGAGAAACGACACGGCCGCTCTGTGGCTTTTTTTAAGTGGCGATCATCATGCTATCCTTCTGTATCCGCTGGCCTCCAGCCATTTTATGATGTCACCTTTGCCTTCGCAGCTGCATTGTTCAAGTGCGCAGGCTTGTGGGGCACTACGTGCGCGTGGACAGCCGCCTTCGCACTTTGGGTCTTTGTGTCAAGGCGCTTTGAGTGAGTCACTCTCCCAAAAAGCCAAGCGCTTCAAGGCCTGGGCAGCCGCTCGCGGTATCAATGATCGGAGCTTGGGCACTCGGGCGCGAGCTTGCGCACGAAAGGGGGCTTCAAACGACTGGGTGTATGTCTCAACATGAAGCTCCAATGGCCGTTTTTGCCGGGTTTCTGGCATCCTTTGTTTGACAAAGCCAAGGCCGTGGCACCATTTCCTCCTTCACCCTGGCTTGCTGCTCAAGTGAGTCACGTCCCGCACGAAGCGGATGGTTTTTGTTTAGCTCTGAGGCTCAACACACACACACACATGTACACACATTCAGGCAAGCCCCAATTAGTTTGGATTGGTGGTTTGGATATTTGAACCTCTGGTCCTTGTGGGTACATGTTTGTCACCTCCAAACCACCAATCCAAACCACCCTTTAGGGAAGCTGAAGGCACCGCATGCGGATCCCAAGCTTTTGAGGTGCTGATGCTGATTCATTTTCTGCAGCGCCGCGATCCTCCGATTCTTCCATCCCTTCAGGATGCTGTACATCGATGCAATAGTTGGTGGGTGGTTGTCAAGCCTTCGTGCTTTTTAGACCGCTATGGATTACGACCCGACACGAAGTCTGACCATGGCACATGTAAGTCTTTCTGGCAGGATATAGCCTTCAGCCACAACGAAAAGCCCAAGTACATCAATGGTGTGGATTGCCGGCAGCAAACTTACCTCTGCAAGTTCATCACGCGGGATTTCACAAAATGATGGCCCGGTTTGGGGATCCCATTTAAATGCGGCACATAAAATGCACCAATTTAGCACCCACGGCTTCGCTCCTGCCGCTTTCCATGCTCCCAGGTTCTGCACGGATGCTGCTCGGATCGACAGCGAGATGGCCTATTTGCGAGGTGCACGCGCCCCGAACAAGGCCTGACCCATCAGCATTGAGTTGTTTTGATATAGCCCGATAGCATCAGATTCGATTTCTGCGAGCCCGGTTAGACTTGAAACCTTGAAACTTGGACCAGACATTGAAAGCTGATTCTTGGCTTCTAGTGTATTTTGCATCGCCGGACAGTTTTAGGCACGGGGGCACAGTGGCCACATGGTGGGCCACATGGTCGGTGCGAGGATTAGGGCGTTGCTTTTCCTTTTTTGAACATCTGCATTGCACAAAGCCCTTTCAATCAACAATCGCGACCTGAGTCAAAGCTGATTCCTGAACTCAGAGCTCGAAATACTCCCAACCGGAGACGCAGTTTGGTTTGGGGCGGGATTGCGCCACGGCCAGGAGGACGTTGGGACATTGCTGATGGATTTCTTCCGATTCTTCGGGCATCAGTACAGGTGCCGCGTGCGTTCAAGGGCGAGTGAGGCGCGGAATTCTCAGGAGCGGCATCATCCGCATTCGGGATACTCGTTCAGTGCTGCCCCCGGGGGATGAGTCCGGCCCTTATGGCAACAGAAGTTAGCGAAACAGACATGCATCATAGGTATCTCCTGGCACACTTTGCCAGGTCCACGTGCTTCTTGGTCGTGGACAACCCCTTTGAGGCTGAACATTGGATTTGCTTAGAGAGCCGTCAGAATGATT